TCACCGAACTGGGCGAGACTGTAGCGGAAGTTGGTTCTTAAAGAGACAGAGGCCAATTTCAAGGCGTTTAGAAGAGGAAGTGATGAGAAGATAACTTTATTTTCTATTTAAACATAAAAATAGCATTTTAATAACAGCTAAAGTTGACATAGATACTTTATTATGGTATAGTATTTAAATGTATGCCTGAGAAACACATAATATTGGCCCTTTAAAGGAATGAGCATTAACCCCACCTTTCATGCCTGCATTTTAAACCAAGATTGTTCTTTGGTGAGGAATGGACAGAGTTATAAGCCTTTTGATCAAATCTTGACACAATTCTGCACAATTTCATATGCTTGGATAATWTACTCCATGCTCAGAGTATGTGTTCATACACTATTTGAAGAATCAAACCAAGCTTTAGCTCAATATGTTAAAAAGCTGGACTGAGTGAAAGCCTTTAAGTGTTGCCTGTTGTTAATTAGCCCCTCAACAAGTCTGTTCTACTGATGGGCAAACATGGTGCGGTTTCTGCCTTTAAACATTTCCGGACACTACCGGGGGCTTGTTTTTTTAAAACCAGGGTGTCAGACGACCTCCTCCAGTTCTTAACTTTGGCTTGACACTCTTAAAAAAATTTAAAAGTCAAAAGGCTTTTAAGAAATTTCAGGGGCAACTKTTAAGGGCTATGGTAGCCAATCCAGAATAGGGTGACTTCAAAATTTGATTGGTTGTACTGTGCATTAAATGATTATTCTCTAAAGGTTTCATTAAAATTCATCCAGTGGTTCATGGGATTTTTGCTAACAGACAGATTTGACTCATACAGTGAACAGTTAACTTTTTAAGATTTCTCACAAGGTGTAACACTTGGAGAATGTGTTGTGAACAGCAGCGAATCATAGCTCCGTATCTGTAAAAACTGATTTAATTTGTAGCTGTTTTGTGTTACAGATTAACAGTAGTGGCCATTGTGAATCAAGCTGCCTCAAACAGGTCATCAATTGTAGCTAAACATGCATTTATTACTTTTTGAGAACCTATAGTAAATAAACTACACATTTTTAATACATAAGAGTTCCTGTGCTAACACTGAAAGCACAATGAAATTATATAATTACATCAGATCTGTATTTTCAGTTTTATGTATTTTTGATCCCTCTTGCAGGAAGTGCTTTCCTCCCATTATACAGCACATCATGGTGCCAATGTAACCAATAAGAACAACCCTTCTGTCCCAAGACAACCCATCAGGCTCTGTGGCTCATCCAGCCTCTCAGAAATTATCAAAAATAWATTGTGTTACTCAATTATGTGTCATAATTTCTTCTGAATTTTAAAGAGGTTTAGATAATAATTACCCAGAGATTAATGAACCAAACATCACACACTGATGTGTGTGCAAAATTGCACTTCCTGTTTTCTATTTCTTCTAACTTGTGTTATGAAAGTTTTTGTTTGTTTGTTTGTTTGTTTGTTTGTTTGTTTGTTTGTTTGTTTTTTACTTGATTGTGAGTAAATTTGATCTGTTTGGAGTCATAATTTCTCATTATTTTAGGGTGAAAAATAAATGTGTGGGTAATTAAAAAAACCAAAGCTAACATTCAAAAACAARTCTTTTCAGCCATGTAAGAAAAAACTAATTACTTTTTGCAATTAAAAACCTATGATTTCTTATTGATCCCATGCAGAATGACAAAACACGGAGTTATGTCTCTGCAAAAACTGCTCTACCTTTGATCTAGCTTATTGAATCTTTGCACAGGTCATGTCTACATGTGAATTTATAATTTCCAAGAGTTTTAACCTTATTCATTGCACTTTTAAAAGGGTCATATACAGTAAAATAAAAAATGACTTCAGGCAAGTGGAAAAAAATGATGACACGTATGAAACAATAGCATCTGTCTTGATACTGGCACTTCTGATAAAATCTCCTAACTGTTAGCTTTCATTTGATATTAMGATTATTGAAGTATAGTTTATGCTGAAAAATTATCAATAAAATTTTGGCACGTTTTTTTTCGAGTACAAAATTCAAGGAAACTCCTTGGGGCTGAAGAAGTTGTAAGGTTCACATACTGTACAATGTTTTCTAGGAATTATATTCATTACCAACCATTTATTTAATACTTTCAGACAACAATGCAAAGTAAAAAGTCCTTACCGTAATCTGTTCAGTTATTTTTAGCAGTAGAATTAGACAGAAGGAAAAAATGAAGTCTACTTTCTTTTTAATTTGTGAAATAAACTTTTTAMTCCAGCTTAATATCTACAAGCAAAAATGCCAAACTGCTCTAACATTTCTCAGATCATGTCTTTTAAAGATTTGACGAATGACTTCTCTATCTAAACTTTTTTTTTATCTTCGACACTGCTCACAAAACCAAAGCAGGAAATAGTTTTTCAGCAGTGTTGAAAAACGTGTTGCACAGTTTGCTTCAAAAGCACCCATGGTTGGATATGTGGTGCTGAAAACAAAACTCTAATCTGACTGGCCACCAATGTGTTCGTTATCTTGCAGCAGACGATGAGAAAGCATACACAATGTGGTRCATACGCTAATAGAAACACATTTCCTTCCTCTTTTGGGGCTTTGAAGACAAGCTAAAGGGGTACTGAGAAATGTTTAACTACAGACTGAAGCTCTATGTGAAACTCTGAAGGGCCCTACATACTCCATCTGAATTAGCAAAATTGTTCCTAAGTTGCGTAATTGTGTGACAAAAATCCTGTCATTTTGTTCACAGAGTGGCTTCGTCTACCGCTTCTCGACACAAGACCCTGTTGAATGCATGGAGTGTTGTGTGATTGGTGAGAAAAATGTGGGTGTGTTTGTTTATACAGAAAAGTGCTCAGACAGCAATGATGAYATTTTGCTTCAACTACTGCTCTTCCTAAAGTCAACTGTTTCATGGCTAGTTTTGAGGAGCAGTAGTCCGAGGAAGTCAGAAAGTACGTCCATCTWTAAGACTCTTCCAGACACTTATAAATACTGTTTAATCAAATGGCCAAAAACTCCTGGATGGAGAGAGCACAGTCATTTTGCATTGTGGCAGATTTGTGACTAAATGGTGGATTTTGGAGTGGGGTCATCAGTGGTAAGAAACCTGTGCTGCAACAGGTACAGCAGCAGCAGGAGGGGTATGCCAGGAGCTCAGCGCTGTGCGTCTCATGACAGGTTTGTGCTAAAACAAACATCTCACTGCTRCATGACCAGGAGTCAACTGTGTGGCTTTGGATCGAGAATGCCACCCGCTTTGGATGTTATCATCCATTAAATGGATGWTATTAGTGATTATCAGTCCCATAGAATGGCTTCAGACTTGCTTCAGACTGTCCYGACTGTGCCGCCTAGCG